GTGATCAATGTGTAGAATGTCCTGTTCAATGATCTATGCAAATAATTACTTCAGTAGGACAACACAATGGTCTCTGAATAAGGGCCGCATACGGCTGATAACCGGTAGAATCTGGAACAGTGGTCGCAAGAATTGTACCAGTTGTAGATGATTGTAACTGACTTAGCAGTTGGTGCAGTCTTAAGATGAACAGCCAGAAACACGAAGCTAAGAACACCTTTTAGCGGACACCTTGAGCAAAACATTGTTGGCCAAGTATAGGTTTATGACCTTACCCTGGATTGCTGGAATATGGAACAAGTTACCAGTAGTACCGCACAAGGTGGTGGCGGAAGTTTCAAAAATCGGAAACCTATAGGAGAGGTTGGTTGTTGTGAATCACAGATGGCAGAGCGAATCCACTGATGGACCTACAGGTGGTTGGAGTTGTGTTTTTTTTTGGAACGGTTGCAATGGTTGCCGTGGTCACCTCACCACAACTGCTGGATGTTGTGTGGTGTAGTGCAGTTGTAGTTGCAGCTGTAGCTGTAGTTGTAGTGTAGTGTAGTGGAGCTGTAGCTGTAATGTAGCGTACTTAGTGTATTTGCAAGCGCAGTTGCAGTTGTAGTCGTGGTGTGGTGTAATTAGTGTAGTGTAGTGCACTGTACTGTCGTATAGTGTTGTGTAGAGTAGTGTAGTGTAGCGTAGCGTAGTGTAATGTAGTGGTAGACGTAGTTGTAGTCGCAGTTGTAGCTGCAGTTGCAGTTGTAGTGTGATGCAATGTAATCAGTGTAGTGTAGTGTTGTGTAACGTAGTGTGGTTGTACTTGTAGTTGTATTTGTAGTTGTAGAGTGCTGCAGTGTAATTAGTGTAGTGTAGTATAGTTGTAAGTGTAGTTGTAGTAGTAGAAGTCGTTGTTGTTCGTGTAATTGGCGTAGTGTAGTGTAATTAGATGTAATGTAGTGTAGTGTAATGTAGGGTAGTATATCTATATTTGCAGTTGTGCCAGTAGTGTAGTGCAGTGGTAGTTGTAGTTGTAGTTGTCATTTCCTATCTATCTATCTATCTGTCTGTCTTTCTATCTATCTATCTATCTGTTTTTCTATCTATCTATCTATCTATCCATCTATCTGTTTGTCTGCCTGCCTGGCTGTCTGTCTGTCTGTCTACCTGCAAGCTTGAAAACGCAGCAATTCTGCGAGACTTCGTCAATTTTTGAATTGACAACGTCAAACACGAAACAATTCTGCCAGACTTTCTCAATTTTCGAAGTTGACAACATAAAAAACGAAACAATTCTGCGAGATGTCCTCAAATTTCGAAGTTGACAACATCAATAACGAAGCAATTCTGCGAGACTTCATTCAAAAATAGAAAGTTCGGTGCAGAGCTGACGTCCTCGTACCAATTCGTTTTGCGATTTTCCACTCCACCTGTCCAAAGTAGTGCGTCTGCCACGAAAAAGCGATGCCAGGTCATACGAAGTGGTGCACCTGTCACGCAAAATCATCTTCCCAAAACTGAAGATCTTGTCTTATGCTCCAAAATGCAACCCCTCTCAGGAAATCAGCGCCCTGACCTCCTAACATCTCTGATGAACATGTCTCTTGTACTGCGCCTGCCACGCGAAATGCATCTTGCCAGATCCTCTTCAAATGTCCCACGCCTGCCATCGGTCTGGAAATGCTACAAAACCCTCTCGTTTTGCTCACTTTTGACACGGTCCACAATCCCTTGCGCCTGCCACGCAAAACGACATCTGAACGTCCAAAAGTGGTCGGAAAATTTAGTTTTTTTAACATTTTGACTTCCGAAATGTGCTTCACGCTACAACGGCGTGCACTTGTTCGACGTCTCAACTTCCAAAAGTGCTCTGAACCCGTCAGTTTTTTACACTTTTGACTTCGAAATGTGCTTCGCGCCACAACGGCGTGCACTTTTTCGACATCTCAACTTCCAAAAGTGGTCCGGACCTGGTGTGTTTTGTACATTTTGACTTCAAAATGTGCTTCGCGCCACAACGGCGTGCACTTTTTCGACATCTCAACTTCCAAAAGTGCTCCGAGCACCAGGTGTTTTGTCCATTTTGACTTGGAAATGTGCTTCGCGCCACAACGGCGTGCAATTTTTCATCTCTCCTCTCGCCAGCTGGCTCCGCACCCGCCGCTTTAGCGAGCCTACTTTTCGACCCTCCAGAGCCACAAAACACTGGAAAAACACGGTGTCTCGCGCCTTTCCTACCTTTTCGTGCACCTGGATCTTCTCTCTTCTGAGACTTTCTCTTTTTTGATCTTCTTTCTTCTTCTCTTCTCTTCTCTGGCTCTTCCCATCTCTGCTTTTCATGTGTCCATATTGTCGGAAGTTTGACTTCTAAACTTCCTTCGATCATTAAAGATAACTTATTGGATAGTCGATTTCATGTTGTAAATGCCATGACAAGTAGTGTACATTTTACACAGGCAACTCGGATATAGTGGGATCCTTTTTGGGACAGCTATGTGGTATGAACATGTATATTACGAGTAGGGGTTCATTCGAGTGATTTCTTCTAAACATGTTGAAATATGTGGAAATTTGTTGAGATATGCCCGAAAATGCTGCAATATGTTGAAGCATGGTGAAATATATTGAAACATGTTGAAATATGTTGGAATTTCTTGAAATATCCAAAAGTGCTGGAATATATGTTGACTTATGTTGGAATTTCTTGAAATGTCTAGAAGCAGGTTGAAAGATGCTGAAACATGTTGAAATGTGTTGAATCGAAGCATGTTGAAATGTGTTGAAGCATGTTGAAGCATGTTGAATATGTTGAAATATGTTGACAAATGCTGAAATATGTTGAAACATGTTGATTGAACAGTTCTGAAATATGTTGAAATACCTTGAAAAATGCTGAATGATGTTGAAATATGTTGAAATATTTTGACAACTGCTGGAATGTGTTGAAGCGTGTTGAAACGTGTTGGACTATTTCAATGAAATATGTTGACAAACGCTGAAATATGTTGAGATATTTTGACAAATGCTGAAATATGTTGAAATATGCTGAAGGATGTTGAAATACTTTGAAAATGTTGAAAGATGTTGAAATATCTTGAAAAATGGTGAGGTAGTGTTGAAAACCATTGAAAAATACTGAAATATGTTGAAAACTGCCTAAATATGTTGATCGAAGGAAGTTCAGAAGTCAAACTTCCGACAATATGGACAGATGAAGAGCAGAGACGGGAAGAGTCAGAGAGAGGAGAAGAGTAGAAGAGAGAAGATCAGAGAAGACAAAGAGTCAGAAGAAAGAAGCTCAGATGCGCGAAAAGGTAGGAAAGTCGCGAGGCACCGTGTTTTTCCAGTGTTTTGTGGCTCCGGAGGGTCGAAAAGTAGGCTCGCTAAAGCGGCGGGTGCGGAGCCAGCTGGCCAGATGAGAGATGAAAAAGTGCACGCCGTTGTGGCGCGAAGCACATTTACAAGGCACACCATGCTCGGACCACTATTGGAAGTTGAGATGTCGAAAAAGTGCACGCAGCTGTGGCGTGAAGCACATTTCGGAAGTCAAAATTTTAAAAACACCACATGTTCCGACCACTTTTGGACGTTCAGATGTCGTTTTGCGTGGCAGGCGCAAGGGATTGTGCACCGTGTCAAAAGTGAGCAAAACGTGAGGGTTTTGTAGCATTTCCAAGACCGATGGCAGGCGTGGGACAATTGAAGAGGCATGTTCATCAGAGATGTTAGGAGGTCCGGGCGCTGACTTCCTGAGTGGGGCTGCATTTTGGA